ATTATTTCATTTTTGGTAATTACATAGAGGTCAAAACTGAATTCGGTCAGTTTACGCACTCAAAGATTTCACGATAGGGTTATTAGAGAAAGAACCACAAGAGGAGAAAAGAGGAGAAAGAGCCAAAGTTCATCGTTCTTGAGGTTTTGCTTGAGGATTCCGCCAACGGTTGATCCCTACAAGGTATGTGAGATCACATAGCATTGGGTTAGTTCACCCACGCGCCAACCATGATTTATTTCAGCGAATTTATAATCTTGAAGGTTTAGAAATTAAGTTCTTGATAGATTTGTTTAAAGTTTCTATTGGGTTCGTGATTGTTGGAGTTGTTGAGGAGTTCTTGATTTTAATTCATGAAATTAGGTGTCGTTTTGAGTAGATTCTTGCATATTTTGATTATGTAGTCGAATCTAAGTGTTTGGGGAAAGACCCAATTGAATCTAGAGGGTTTAGAGTTGAAAAACGACCAAGGAAATTCGTCAAAATTGGGGAAAGGAGGGTGGGGCGCTACGCCACTCAGAGTGCCCCACATAAGTTTCTGTAGGAAGGGCTCTGGGGCGCCGTGCCAACCAGTGCGCCCCAACCCCAGTTCTGTTGTTCAGCCTCTGGCGCTCCGTGCCACTCAGAGCGCCAGGGACGCTAGGTCTTCTACCCTTTCCTACTTCTTTCCGTACTAGTTCCCCTGAAACGTATCTATGTTTCCTAGTTGAATTATACACTATAAGGTACGTCTAAACAACATGAAATCATCAATAACATGAGATCATGCGCCTTGAATCCATAATTCAATTCAAGGAAAGTTAAGAGTCAAGTCAAGAGAAGTGAATAAAGTTTTCCAAAAGTCTTTTACAAACACTTTAACTTTGTTTTAAGACTTGAGTTTTGAGTTGAGTAAAGAGTACAAGTGGAAGCTCATTTCTTCAAAAGAGTATATCCAGACTATGTATTCTCAAAGAGTAAAATGTTTTCACATTTAAACAAGAAAGGAAACTTTGATTTCCAAAAGAGCCTTTGAGCTAGTTTTTCAGTAAAGAGTAAAATGCTTTCTCAATTAAGCAATAGAGGAAACTTTGATTTCCAAGAAGAGCCTTTGAGCTAAGTTTTGAGCAATTATCTCAAACCACAGAAAGAAGTTTTGTTTTTATTATAAGAGCTAGTAATATATTTTGGGAGTTGTATTGAGGACCGATATGGGGGAGAGTTCAAAAAACTCCTAGCCCCCATAAACCATGTAGCCACCATGGGTAGAAAAGGGTCATACTTTTTAGATGATTCATTAGTACTTTTTAGCATAGACTAGTGGATCCACTTAGTAGTCAGGTTCTATACCCTCGGCAAGGTATAGGACGGCCTGGCAGCATGAGGCAAAACGATGTAGCATCACAATAGCTCTTAAGTAATGGTTGTCGGTTATAGAAACTCCCACAACAGTATTTTGTATTCTTATATACATAGAAGTAAATTGTATTTTAATATACATTTCAGAGTTCATATTGTATCTTTGCATACAAACAGAGTCACTATTGTATTTTTCAATACACAGAGTTGCTATCCATGTTTTAGAAAGCTTTTCTTTATATTGCATTTACAATATTGCTTTATATTGAATTAAGTTGAGTTGAGGCCAGGTATATTCCTTCAGTTCCTTTCAGGCTTATGTCTTGTTTTAGTATTCCCCTCGTATGCTCATACATTCATTGTACTGACACCATTTGGCCTGCATCATTGTTATGATGCAGATACAGGTAACCAGGATAGCATCTAGTGCATCGTTGATTCTAGTTGAGCTTCTGAGTTGTTGGTGAGCCTCCTTGCTCCTGAAGGATCCCTTTTATTGCTTTCAGTATGTTTAGTTCATTAGGATGTTGTGGGTCTTGCCGCGATATCTATCTCAGTTTTAGAGGTTTCATAGATAGATAGTTAGATGCTAGTTCTTTAGTCTTTTCATTCTATTATGTTGAGACTTGAGTTGCCACTTTGGCCAGTGAATGTTATTTTAATACATTCTCAGTTATCTTTGAGCTTTCAGATTACTTTTAAAGGTACAATTATGTTGAGTTAAATCTTCTGCTAAGTAAGTAAGTCAGGCCAAAGGTTCGCTTAGGACCAACAATGGTTCTCGAGTGCCAGTCCCTCCCAGGGTGTAGGCTCGGGGCGTGACACAAACTGCAAATACGATTACAATGACAATCAACTAGATGAACAAGATGATAATAATTATGAGGACCTGAATAAGAAATGTGCAAGTAAGAAATAGATGCGTAAAATATCTCATCTTATCTAAATATTTTTATAGTGTTTATGACATTAACCTTTTGTTATTTTTGTGATCAAGTTATTTTAAGGAGTGTTCTCAGCCAAATGAGAACCAAAAAGGAAGAAGCTCACTGGTAAACTAGTTATAGAGCCATCACATGTCAAATTTTCGTTCCAAAATAGGCGTACCTCAAATAATGGCATATAATACTTGTACTCCCTCTATTTAACAATATTTGATGTTTTTAGTTTGAGTAGACTCCTTAAGAAAATTACTTACTCTAAGAAAGCAAAAAGTGTTCTTCATTACAAACTTTTAATCAAATGTCTTAAAAAAGTATCTCTTTAATGGTTTGTTGTTTATGTAAAATTCATTATTTTAATAAGGATAAATTTGGAAGAAAATTTTCAATTTGTTATTATTGGGTGAAAACTACATATCTTAAAAGAAACAAAAAAAGATAAAAATAACTTATTTTGAAATGGAGGTGATAATTTTTCTTGTCTACATTTATTAAAAATTTAATGTCGAACAATAATTTCTACGCTTGGTATAGTTTCTTGTTGTCGTATGTCAAAATATTTGAGACAATTATAATTCTGTTGACTACAATAACTGCATACGACAAAATATTTGAGACAATTATAATTCTGTTGACTACAATAACTGCATTCACACTTGAGGGATCAGTTTTCTATGATTAATTAATATGTATTCACTTTTTTAAATCATTGTTTAGGGAAATTAATGTAGTTTGTTGTGAGTCGAGATTATTATTACTGTAATTAATTGGCTAAATAATTTAATTTGGAACTAGCTTACGAGTCCTTCTCTATAGCTTTTACTATTTTGTGCATTCAAACTATTATTCCCTTGGAGAACCAAAGTAAACGAGATGAGAAATCATCACTTATACTAACATGTTGCACTGTTTAAGGGTTTTGGATGATCAATGGACATAATTATGAATTCGGCTAAGAAGAATTCTTCGAATGATCGAAAATGATCCTTCCTCATCTAGATTCCCGCTTGGCCAGGTCAAAATTCTAGATTTTTCTTATCCTTTAATTGTTTTCAAGTTTTCTATGTTCCATTTATATGTTCGCAAATCTAATGAATGCTTGTTAGGAATTTGTGTGTTTTTTTTAGTTTCTAGTCTAGAAAAGAAACAAGAAAGTGTTACACTTGATTTCTAATTAATCGATCAATTAATCTTGCTAAAATCTCTCTGTCTTTATCAGATTTATTTTTTGAATTCGCTAATAAGAACTCTTTGGTGACCGGAAATGATCCTGTGTTTGTTTCTTCTTTATCTAGACTCCAGTTCAGTTAGGTAATATTACAAATATTTTAAAAAAGATTTATTTAGAAGTTTTCTGTGTGTCAGGCGTCTATGGAAGTTTGAATCTACCCCATTTTTCAGTTAATCTCGCTAATGTTATTATCAAGGGTTGTAGTAAGATGGTTAAGATTCTTCTACTTTTGTATTAAAATGTCTATTCCGAGTCCTAAAAATTTAGAAATTCCATATAGGGAGGTCCTATTTTGATATGTTAATTATATCTTACAAACATTTTATCATTTGTATATATCAGTCAAGTAGCATATTGAAGAGTCAGTTTAATCCACCAACTATATATAGATTTAAAGACAAAATTGTAAAATGAAACAATTCATCTTCTTATGGATGATGAATCAAACTGCAAATATGATTACAATGACAATCAACTGGATGAACAAGATGATAATAATTATGAGGACCTTAATAAGAAATGCACAGGTAGGAAATAGATGCATAAAATATCTCATCATATCTAAATATTTTTATAGTGTTTATGGCATTAACCTTTTGTTATTTATGTGATCAAGTTATTTTAAGGAGTGTTCTCGGCCAAATGAGAAAAAAAGGAAGAAGCTCACTGGTAAACTAGAGTTATAGAGCCATCACATGTCAAATTTTCGTTCCAAAATAGGCGTACCTCAAATAATGGCATATAATACTTGTACTCCCTCTATTTAACAATATTTGATGTTTTTAGTTTGAGTAGACTCCTTAAGAAAATTACTTACTCTAAGAAAGCAAAAAGTGTTCTTCATTACAAACATTTAATCAAATGTCTTAAAAAAAAGTATCTCTTTAATGGTTTGTTGTTTATGTAAAATTCATTATTTTAATAAGGATAACTTTGGAAGAAAATTTTCGATTTGTTAATGATGGGTGAATAACTACATATACTTAAAAGAAACAAAAAAGATAAAAATAATTTATTTTGAAATGGAGGTGATAATTTTTCTTGTCTACATTTATTAAAAATTTAATGTCGAACAACAATTCTACTCTTGGTATAATTTCTTGTTGTCGTATGTCAAAATATTTGAGACAATTATATTTCCGTTGACTACAATAATTGCATACGACAAAATATTTGTGACAGTTATAATTTTCTTGACTACAATAATTACATTCACACTTGAGGGATCAGTTTTCTATGATTAATTAATATGTATTCACTTTTTTTTAAATCATTGTTTATGGCAATTAATGTTGTTTGTTGTGAGTCAAGATTATTATTACTGTAATTAATTGGCTAAATCATTTAATTTGGAACTAGCTTACAAGTCCTTCTCTAGCTTTTACTATTTTGTGCATTCAAACTATTATTCCCTGGAGAACCAAAGTAAACGAGATGAGAAATCATCACTTATACTAACATGTTGCACTGTTTAAGGGTTTGGATGATCAATGGACAGAATTATGAATTCGGCTAATAAGAATTCTTCAATGATCGAAAATGTTCCTTCCTCATCTGGACTCCCGTTTGGTCAGGTCAAAATTCTAGATTTTTTCTTATCTTTTTTTATAAACTTTTCTATGTTCCATTTATATGTCCGTGAATCTAATGCATAATTTTTAGATATTTGTGTTATTTCTAGTTTCTAGTCTAGAAAAGAAACAACAAAGAGTTTCGCTTGATTTCTAGTTGATTAATCAGTTAATCTTCGCTAAAATATCCTTGCTTTTAACCAAAAGTTTTTTTTTTGAATTCGCTAATTAGAATTCTTTGGTAACCGGAAATGATCTTGGGTTTGTTTCTTCTTCATCTGGACTCCAGCTTGGCCAGGTCAGATTAAAAATATTTTTTAAAAAGATTTTTTTAGGCATTTAAGGAGGTCTGATATCTAGCCCATGTTATTATCAAGGTTTGTTGTTAGATGACTAAGATTCCTATGCTCTTGATTAAAATTTTGGTTTCATTCATCTGGACTCCAGCTTGGCCAGGTCAGATTAAAAAGATTTTTTAAAAAGATTTTTTTAGGCATTTAAGGAGGTCTGATATCTAGCCCATGTTATTGTCAAGGTTTGTTGTTAGATGACTAAGATTCCTATGCTCTTGATTAAAATTTTGGTTTCGAGTCTTGAAAATTTTAAAATTTCTTATAGGAATTTTCTTTCTTGATATTTTAATTATATGTTACAAAGTTTTTACCATTTGTATATGTCAGTCAAGTAGCATGTTGGAAAGCCAGCTTAATCCACTTGCTATAGAGTCCGAGACAATATCGGAAAATGAGATAATGCAGCTGCTTAAAGATGACGAAGCAAACAGCAAATCCGACTACAATGACAATAAATTTGATGAACAAGATGGTAACGATGATGATCATCCAAATAAGAAAATGCGCAATCATCGTCACACCAAGCAACATATCGAGGAAATGGAAGCGTAAAATATCTTATCCTATCTAAATACCATTTTTTTCTAAAGTGTTTATGTTATTAATCTTTTGTTATTTTTGTGATTAAGTTTGTTTAAGGAGTGTCCGAAGCCAAATAAGAAGAAAATGAAGGAGCTCAGTAATAAGCTAGAGTTAGAACCTTTGCAGATCAAATTTTGGTTCCAAAATAGGCGTACCCAAATAAAGGTATATGATACTAATACTCCCTCTGTTTAGTAATACATGGTGTTTTTAGTTTTAGCAGGCCCCTTAAAATTACTCACTTCTAAAAAGTAAAAAATGTGTTCTTAGTTACAAAGTTTTAATCATCTGTCTTAAAAAGATATAGCTGTTTAATTGTTCTTTGATTATGTAAAACTTCATTCATTTTAATTATGACAAAACTGGAAGAAAATTTTTAGTGGCTTCTTGATTATTTAAAAAAAGCTACTTATTTAAAAACAAACTAAATAGATAAAAACACAATTTATTTTGAAAGGGAGATAGTAATTTTTATTGTCTACATTAATTGAAGATATATAATTGGACAATAATCTGTATACTTGATATAACTTCTTGTTCTTGTATGTCAAAATATTTGACGCAATTAGAATTTACATAAATGCATTCAGACTGGTATAAATTTCATTTTTTTAATCATTATTCATGGTATTAATGTAGTTTGTTGAAAGTTAAGATTATTACAAATGCAATTAATTAGCTAAATTATTATTAATTTAACACTAGCTAGCAAGTCCTTATGCTAACTTTTATTATTTTGTGGATTCGAAATATTATTTCCTTACAGAACCAAGATCAACACAGTGAGAATTTATCACTTCGAGCTGAAAATGACAAGCTTAGGGCTGAATGTGTGTGGTTAAGTGAAGCTATCAACAATGGTTGCCCTAATTGTGGCGACCATGGTTTCCGCTTAGGTGAAACGCCAAATAATGAACAATATTTAAGGCTAGAAAATGCTCGCCTACAAGAAGAGGTAATAAAAGTTTTAAAAAATTATTTGACTCGTTGGATTGATATATTTCGTCACAGTTTAAATTTTTAAGTTAAGTGCGTTGATGCTAAATTATTTTATCTTTAATTGATCTAACTGTGTAAAATATTTTCTTGGACTGTTATTAATATATCAAACTCAAGCTCAATTAATTATTTTTTGTTTACTACTAGGTTGTTCACATTTCAAGACAATATATTGCTAAAGTAATTAGGGCAGCTATGTACGAGCTTCTTCAAATGGCTCAAATGGGAGAGCCACTTTGGCTTCCAAACATTGACGGTGTAAATAATGACTTAAATGAAGAAGAATACAAGAGGAAATTCCCTAGGGGAAATGAGCCTAAGCCTAATGGAATTAAGACTACTGCTTCACGAGAAAGTGTTCTTGTAACCATGAATCACATCAACTTGGTGGAGATTTTCATGGATACGGTATAGTCACTTTACTTCTAAATATATTTTTGAAATTAACCATTTACTATTCGATATTTACTGATCGACTAATTTAAATTTGCAGTTATTACATCGGATTTTATATTTCTATAACTTAAATTTGAAACTTCTGATTAAGAATGAAGAGATCCAATTTAAATTCATCTCACTACACTACTCTATAGAAACTAGTTAACACTACTCTATAGAAACTAGTTAACTAGTTATAGAATTGAAATTGGATATAAAGAATTGTCTAGACAAATTTGGAATTATAATGATGATAACATATCTTTTGTGATCACCAGAATCATTGGGCAAGGTTTTTTTCAAGTATTGTGTTGACGGCACGTACGATGGATGTGTTGGATGGATCAACGAAAATGGTAATTGTTCATGATGTACTTTGTCATTAAATGTTTCTCTTTCTTACTCTATATAGGTTGCACTTGGATGCCTATAATTTTATAAATAATTTACACTATCCTTTTGTGTCATTTTATTCTTTATTTTTATTTATTCGTTGGGCAGATATATGCAGAGTTTCAAGTTCCCTCTCCACAAATTCCAAATCGAGATTGCTACTTTGTAAGGTCTTGCAATAAAATTGTTGATGGACTATGGGTAATTGTTGATGTTTCCCTGGACCATACCCCGATTACTAGGTGTTGGAAAAGGCCCTCAGGATGCGTGATTAAACAAATCTCAAATGATATCTCAAAGGTAAAAGATTTCAATAAACATATACTATGTCTAATAATGACTAAGGGGCAAGCTGATTACTCATGGAGTCTCGATCCTTGTATCAACATTTTTCAAAAGAAATCATGCACCTAAGTTAATTTTCTGTAAAAAATTAATTATTTGTACATATATTATCCTGAAATTATAAATTTGAATTATCATAAGTCAACCTTTTACAATGTTGTAGGTCACATGGGTTGAGCATATCGAGGCGGATGACACATTAGTTCACACCTTTTACAAGACCTTTGTGAATTCCAGCCTTGCATTTGGGGCAAAGCGTTGGATTTCTATCTTGGATAGACAATGTGGACGATTAGCAAGTGCAGAAGCCACAAATTTACCCCAAAGTAATATTATTCATACGCGTAAGTACATGACTATTCTTTTTCATACTCCATTTTCAATTAATAATTGAATTCAAATGCTCAAACTCACATTATAATATATAATCATTGCCGCCTTTAATTTACAGTATCAACAGGAAGAAAAAGCGCGTTGAAGCTTGGGGAAAGAATGATAATAGATTATATTTCAGGAGTGAGTGGAACAACAACACACCAATGGACAACTTTCACAAGAAGTGGCTATAATACTAACGATGTTCAAGTCATGACTAGGCAGAGCATAAACGATCCAGGGAGACCACGGGGCCTTGTGTTGTGCGCTTCAACTTCCATCTGGCTGCCCGTTCTTCCAAAACTTGTGTTTGATTTCCTTGGGAATGAAAACACAAGGGGCAAGGTACCACTCAGTAGTTTATATTATCTTTGACACAATTTTCTCAAATTTTTATTCATTAAGATCAGCCAATTATTTTTGAATAGTAATATCATTGAATTATTACAGTGGGACATTCTATCGAATGTGGGTACTATTCAACAAGTTACTCATATTGCAAATGGAACGGAAATAGGCAATTCTATCTCCATATTGAGAGTCAATGTAAGGAAATCCACTTAGTGATTTTAATTAACTATATCATCTACTATATGGATTCATATTCATATGATATTAATTAGCTGTTAGTGTGATTGAAGAAAAGAATTAACGCGTGAATTTCAATCATTGGCTGCAGAGTCCAAATCCAGCTCAAAACGATATGTTGATATTTCAAGAGAGCATCACTGATCCAACAGGGTCATTTATTGTTTATGCACCTATTGATATTCGTGCAATAGACATGGTATTATGTGGTGGGAATCCTGATGGTGTTCCGCTATTACCTTCTGGATTTGCTATATTCCCTGATGGGCCATCAAGCAGTACAAACTACGAAATCTCTGATTATAGTGGATCATTCCTCACTATCTCATTCCAGATTTTGGTACATAATGTACCCACTGCAAATATTTCTCCTCAATCTATTGCTTCCGTCAATAAACTCATGTTTTGCACCATCGATAAGATCAAGAATGCTCTCTTTCTCAATTTTTAATTCTTGTCAGATGGATGGTAAGTACATACTTCATTTAAAATTATAAAAACAGTTTATGGTTTATTACTCTCAATAAAGATCTAAAATTAATTAGGATTCTTTTATTAATATTTTTCTGTTTGCTGTTTTTTCTTTATTGGTTGCAGTTTAGGGGAGAATTACAAGTTGACAAAGGGAGGACAAAATAAATATTCGTAGTGAATATAACTTTATTTTAGTTACCATACATTAAATTTGTAGTTATATACTTTTAGTGACTCATGCTTTGACGAATTTATTTTCATCCCAAAATATCTTTTATGATAAATTTGGTTTATAAGCAACAAATTGATTCGGCAAATTTGTTGTGAACTCGTGGGGCTCAAGGGTTTTGTCAAAAATCTACGAGGATATTTGGCGGAAAAACGATTCTCATCTGGGTGACACGACCATCAATGAGGTGAGAAGTTATAATGAGATTATATATAACTAAAAGGTTAAATTATATGTTAAGATAAGTGCTTAGAACTTTAAGTTTATTTTACGAAGAATATTAAGAATTTGTTGTAGCTTTGTGTCATTGTCTGTTTCCGGTGACTTAATTTGCTCAACAAAGAGAGAAGCTAAGAAGAAGTTGAGTGAAGAAGCAGGCTGTTGATTTGCCTTTGGATCAGAACATAAGCCTAACTATATTATTGGATTGATTTATTCATTATGGGCTTCAACAACAAAAACAATAGAGGTCCAGTTCTAGTAGAACATTTTCCTTGTAAATACATATACATGTACAGATATTTTAGAGTACAGTACTCTAGAAATAGTACATGTCCTATTTTATGCTATACAGTTGTATGTACTAGGCAGGTACTTTGTTGATTTTATTACCGTTCAATCCCTAGGACGTTTGAATATATTTTGCTTGTACAGTAGCTTTGCAATGACAGGTTGAAGAAATACAAAATCCAGAAAATTTTTCACGATCCTTTCTAGTATATTTCTATACATTCTTTCATGGTATCAGAGCAATACTAGAAGGATTCATCTTCTTCCTTTCCGTTTGATCTCCTCTGGAAATTCTTCTTCTTCTTTAGATTCAGATATGGGAGTAGATCCTCCATCAACTCTCTCTGCTTCTGAATCCAGAACTACCAGCGAGGTAGTAGACTTGACCCATCCCTATTATCTCTCATCTTCAGATTCACCTGGAATGAACCTCATTAATGTGACTTTTG